TTATAAAATCACTGTAAGCTGTGTAGATATGAAAAACCGAACTGAATGCTGCTAAAAGTGTCAGGACACCAGATTATGAAGAAGCCTTAGTGCTAAACTTGTTTCAAGTTAAAGACACAGTTCTAAGTTAACTTAAGAAATTTTAGTAATTAACTTAGTGAAGTTGAATTTCCTATGATATAAATTGGCAAAGCTTGTCCAACAAGTTACAGTTTGATTTACTCTTGGCAATCTCTCCCTACCAATTAGAGACAGCCAGAGAGCCAAATAGGCCTGCCCATGCCATCAGCTGCTGATCCAGCCTCTCCCCCAGGAGCGAGTTTGGAATAGATGCAATTTGAACCACTCTAGGGAAGGCTACGAACCCCTCCTGTTGCTTTTTTTCCCCTCCAAGGACAAATCTCTGATGTGTCTGGGAAAAGGTCCTGGCTAAGAAGTCTCACCTTTTTAGCCTTGTTTAGTCTAAATCAGTGTCCCAAGTACAAAACCACTGAACTATATTTATTACCTGCGTTAACAAATACAATCTGCAACAATGTAAGCGGCATTCAAGCGCAAGGAGCAGACCTCAAGATCTGGTCTACCTGCCATAACAAGGTAAGAACTTGCATTGCAACTCACGAAGCACCTGCTCATTCCATGACAACTCTGCTCTAACCCACAACAAAGGCAGTTAAAATACATTCTTAGCACCCCCAACTTATTTTTTGCACTTGCCATGGGAAGTTATGCGACTTAGCAAAGATGTCCCCAGACAGTCTCTCTAAACTGCAGGCTATCCAGTAGAAGTCCCACCTGTGGCTAGATAACTAAGAAGAGGTCTTCCTTAACATGGATAAATGAGGAATGCTCATGTTTTGAGCTGGAAAAGGAGTTGGTCTCCTCTGCCAACTCTCCATGTTCAAAGATACTGTCATTCCTGTCACTCTTAGTACTCATATTCTTTTTCCTTTTAAAATGGCTGCAATGAGTTTTTTGAAACATGCCAGGCTAAAATAAAATCCTGAAATAACAGAAAAATTCTTTATTGGTGGTTGATCGACACAACACACCATACAAATAGGAGGGCTCAGTTCCCCGCTAAGCATGCTTTTCACTGGCCAAGCCATAGCAAACAACCATGACCACTTGTAATAGCCTTACTATGACGCATGAGATTAGACCAGCAGGACTTCTGGTTTATCCTGTACTTTATGGAAGAATGAATTAAGTGTACCTGGACATAAATCAAAAGCCCCCATAGCATCCTGGGTAGCACACACCAGTAGTCCATTACTTGTACAGTTAAAAAGCTTTCCCTAAGTCTTTGTCACTACAAATGAAGCCAATTACAGCCTGCCTTTCCCCTGAAGGGCACTGCAAACACCTGACGACCAGTTTTTCTAAAACAACTCTTGACATCCTTGATTTTTGTCCTACCCCAATATTCTATTTGCTAAACTTAACCAAGGCAGGATCTTCTGCATCTTATTTGTGGTGGTGTACTCCTCCATTTGTCTACAGTTTTCTCAAAAGTGGGTGCCCAAAATTGCACAAACTATTCCAGCTGAAGCCCAATCAGAACCAAATATTCAGAATGTCATCAGAAATTCCAGAACCTGACACAGTATCATTGCTACTTGAGCCACAAAGATACTGTATTTTTCTTGTGTCCAAAACCAGCACACACTGTTGAGCTACCCCTGCTTACACTCCACAGTATTTTCTGAAACAATGCTGCCTGGTCAGAGATTTCCCAGTGGTAGTTGTAAGAGGGAATTTTCATTCTTAAGCATGGTGTTTCATCAGCATTTTAAACTTTCAGGTTATTTCTCCATCTTATGAAGATCTTTCTGAATTCAATTCCTGTCCTTTGTGATCATTTCCTCCCAGTCCAGTGTCACTTCAAATATAAATAAATAATTGTATAGTTGATATGTTAAGAATATCGCAAAGGAAAAGTCTCATTCAAAACAGCAATGTTTTGTCTAATAAACAACATGTTTGATGTTAGGAATCAGATTTCAATGCAACATTACACTACTTACAGTAGTGGCTAACAGTGGGACGCTACAGTAACGCTAGAGCTACCACAGAGAAGTCGACACCACAATTTCAGTAAAGCACAGCACAGTGCTTTTCCAGTCAACTTATTTTCTACTACGCTGCCAGCATCTAAATCAGCAATATGCCACAAAACGACGACTCTATGAAGGCTAAATCATGTCAGTATTAAAACAAAATATGTATTGATAGACAAATAGATATTAATACTGCTGTACAGTACCAGAGAATCCAGTCTAGTATTCAACAGATATATAATGTAGATATTCATTCAAAGGTCTATCTCATCCAAAAGACAGTATGTTGATGTATTACTTTTGTATTGGAAATGTAATGGTACTAAAAGTACATTATAGTATCACGGAAGAGATCTCCAAGGTTTTGCTATTCGTTCTTAGACAGCAAGCCCCAGTGGACTGTTTAATAAGAATGCATCAATTTACCTAGCCAATTTTCTTTTTCAATAATGAGTTTGCTTTTATTATATGCACATACTTAAGAATATGACTTAATGAACAAAATTTGTATATTTATATTGAATATTTGTTCTACAATTTCATTAGACTATTCAGCCTTCTCTAACCATTGTCTAGTTTTCTGTATGCAAGCATATAATCAAATAGACAAATATTCTCAAAAATTATTTCAACATGGCTGAAGCATGCAGAATTTCCATTATCCATTCTGTAAATAAAACAATTCAAGCAATTCTGAATATTTATATAAATGTGTATTAACTTAGTCATTTGATAGATGTCTGATTTTTCTGCTTCCAAGTGTGAGCCTTTTTATTGCATATTTGTAGATAGCTGCCAGCAAGACACAGTATCAGAGGATTTACAACTGTGAGGGTAGAATGCCATCTGCTGCTATACTTGCTGCTACAGCAGGATAAAACAGAAGAATGATACAAGTGCTGCCTCCTGCCTTTCTCTTAACTGTAAAATGTATACAAACATCTCATTTTGTTTTATTAAAAATTAAAAAAAAACCACCAACACTGGGAGCTCAGATGCCTTTGCACACAGCTTTTCTTACAAGATCTGGTAAAATAATGTGATATGGACCATGGGATTTTATCAATGCAAATGAGAGGCTGTTGTACCAGCCTACTAGAACAAAACAAACAAAAAAAAGTGTAATTTGACTGCAAACTAAATTTTACTGGTAGGTAATGTAATCAAACCATTTAAAAAAAAGCACACTTTGAAAATGCATTTGCAATGAACTATGGAGTTGCTAGACTGGGGCTAGAATTTAGGAACACCCCCTGAACTGTTATGCACCATGAAAGCCTTGCAAAATTCCCACTTTCCCAGCCTGGTTACATACAAGACACATATCATAAGCAGAGGTAGTATAAGGAATATGATATATTACCAGTTTGATTCATATCCACTTATCGGGGTGAGGGGAAAAAACAAAACAATAAAACAAAATAACACAAAACCATTTTCTTAAATTCATCCTACAGTTTCCCCCCATTTCCTTTAGGCAAAAGTTAATTAATTTTATTCAAAGTGCTCTTCACTAAATCAAATGGAAACATTAGCCAGCATTTTACTCAATAATTAACCATTTAACCTTCTACACACAATGCAATAGCAGAGGCATTCTTACGGTTATTCAAAATGCATTGCTGAGCTGGATAAATTCATATGTACAGAATTATGATGTAGCTGGCAAGTGTTCAAGTTTTACATTTTTTTCTACTGATAACGGAGCTCCAGGTGATTACGTATAAATAATGTCCTTCTGTTTTTTTGCCCGCTGCTTCACCCACACACAAACACTTCTTCCAGCTTTCTGTAAGTATGGACATAAAAAGCTCGGGTATACAACGTCCTGTAACAACCTGTTACAGTACACTATACATTGATAGGGCTTCTCCACACAGTTACACTTTGACCAGTCAAAATACAAGGTGAAATAAAAACCCTCAAAATCGGATAGAAAGAAAAAATAATCTGGCAGTTACAGATCAGAGTAACAACTACTATACAGCCATGTTACCTTTGAACTGCTACCAGTAAGAGTTTTGCTAATGAAAATACCAGGAGCATGAGTACATTTTTACTGTGTACCTTCTGTTACTCAGCATTAGAGCAGTGTACCATATTTAAAAATAACAAATCAGCTTTGACAATTGAAAGGAACACATTGCTTTCATGAAAATGTAATTCAGTATAGCGTAAAACTTTATTTTTAATATTAAGTGAGGAACCATTCAATAGAGTTGAAGTACAGTTCAAACCTGAAGGGATAAAAAGAATTCTTGAGACTGAGACTGTTCACCAGAAAGCAAGGATAGAGTACTACACAAGTAAACCCAAATCTCAGTCACTGTCACAATTCTTGCTAAAGATTTGCTTGGGGCTCCAACAGAATTCTTTCAGTCTTTCTCAAGATCAATTGATCTCATCTTACTGACATTCTCTTTATAACATCTATATTATGACTGTCCCCTACAGTTAAGGTGAATTAACTGCTGGTTCTTCAAAAATGCATCTTACTTTTCCCTCTTCCCTATTTAAAATGCAGAAAAGCCAAGTAATGCGAGAAATACAGTGGAAACCACATAAATGAGTAACTGTCAAAAGAACAGAACTATTAAAAGAATAAATCTTGTGTACCCAGCTGTGAAATATAACACAATATAGCAGAACCCAGCTAAATGTTTGAAATAAAAAATTGAAATGCAAAGCAACCTAAAATTGTTTAATGAACATAGCTGTTAAAATATTAACTCCTTGCATGCCAAAACTCAAACACATACATGATAGGAAGCCCGCTCAGATGAACACAGTAATAAGTTATCTTTCTATCCATCTATCTCTGCTTCTAGCCAATCCACCACCAGCTAAGCTCAAGAGCTTATACGTGTAAGATATATTGGCAGGTCAATTTCTGCACAGGCTTTTTTATTTCAAATGTTGTGGTTTACAGGAAACATTTACCTTTGAGGTGTGTTGAAGCTGGTCTCCCACATATGTTTTACGGAACTGATCCAAGAACCACAGAATCGCCAGCTCCACTTTTTCATTACTAGATTGTGGTAACTGGGCATCCATCAAAGATATCAGCTGAAAAACTCTTAATGACAGAAAAAAAGTATTTTCAGGAAGAATTCTCAAATTAGATGATATTGTCGCAGCTAATTTCTTTAGGAACCCATCAGCTATTTTTTGTTTGCCTAAGTTTCTTCTAGGACTTTGTTTTGTTTAGATGTTAATTGGGCTAATTGACCACTATTAAACATAAACATCAACATAATGTTTTTCTAATTACTTTGTCACTTGAAATTTTCTCAGATACATATGTTATACTGTGGTGAGTTCATAAGATGTTTTTTCCTTTCTTGTAACATCAATTCCATGATAAAAGAAATGAAGAAATTTGAGATGCATGGGTCTCAAACTGCAAGTGCAAGATAAGAGCTGTTCCAGTTCCCTGGAAATTGAAACTACTGGACTCAAAAATAAGTTTACATATGCAGTATATAATGCACTGCCTGCCTTGCTTCTTCCCACTTCTGCCTCTCCCAAAACATCTGAAGAAACACGTACTTTCTGACATAAATCCTTACCTCATCTAGATCTCCATCTTCCCAGGACTGATTTCAAAGAATCAATTTCAGTCTATACCAGCTAAGAAAATGTAATACTTCTTTTTGTTTTTGAAGGAATATACCTTCATTTAATTTCCCATGTTCTTCTGCTATCTATTCCTTGAAATCCTAACTCCCTAACAACTCAAAAAATTATTCTCACCTTTTGCCAATTCTGAAATAGTCACTGGATTAGAAGTCAGTAGCTACTTCATCTGTAAGCCTGTATATTAAAGCCTCTCACTTTTATTAAAAACGTAGTGGAAGATTGCTAACACCACAGAGCCCCAGGGTAGATTAGGAAGGCAAGAAACAAAGGAGAAAATGTAAAGCTTTTTATCCAATTCTAAATCGCACGTCCTTTTTCATGTGTTAGCTAGTGGATGTAAATAATGGGATCAAATATGCATGCCTTTAACATACTTGTGGGTGAAAACAAGCATTAAGGAAGTGTTTGCCACATACTTTGTGTTTGCCACAAGGAATACACGTCATTCGCAATAATCTCTAGCTCACCCCTTGCCCTAGAACTTGCAGAAAGAAGACTCTAGTATGCACATTTTCAAATTAGAGCCTTCATTTTTATTCCAAGCTCTAGTAAAAAAATAAGTCTAAATTTTCAATGGTTGACCAGCAGGTCCTTGGCACTTCTTCACCCACAGTAATTAATGTAAAGGAAGTAGTGCACAAAATAATAGCCATAACTCACAGCTAATAAAATTAACACTTGTATACAATGCACAAATGAAAACTGGTAGCTACATGGGCATATCAGTAAAGTCCTTGAGCATCCACCATTCAAAAACTGGACAAAAATTGAGAGATGTAAATTCAAAACACCTGCTGATACTCAATGTCATTAAAAAAAAATTAAAAAATAAGAATTCAAAACAAGCAATACTTACCGACAGGATAACTCTCCATCCATAGCATCATGTTCATCAGTGCTAGTGTACGTTAACCGTCCTCCCACAAAAGTACCCACAAAATAGACAAGCCATGCCAGACGTCCTAACATTAAGAAGAAGGAACAGTAGTTAATGGTTAAACCATTATACTAGTACAATACACTTCCACATGGTATCAGCAGTTCTGTAAGGTATCAGACTGCAGAATGCTGTCAAGAGAACGGTTAGGTTTCTCCCTTCACCAGATTTAAAACCTACCCAGACAAGTCAAGTAACAAAAAATTCTGAGCAGAACGGACAGATAAACTAGAACAGCCTACTAATTTGGACATGCTTATAAATAAAACACAAAAGAATTAAGCTAAAATACAAATTAAGCAAACTGAGCCTGGTAAGATTAGGTATACAAATAATCTAGTATCCTCAATTGCTTGCCACAGGTTACTTCAAGGCATGGAACAATTCTGTCTACAGTGTGGCTGTTACATCTACTTATCATAGCATTAGGAAGTAAGTGAGACTCACTACAATCTACCTGTTTCTTAGTTCTATTTCAAATAAAGAATTCTTTGTAATATTAAACTACCATCTAAAGTGATCTGCACATAAGAAAATATCTACATCGTAAATCAGACTTATTCTTCAAGCAAAAGAGTTTGCGAACTACCACATACTTCTGAAAGTATCTGTGGACTGTTTTCTAACAGGTCTGAAAAACAGAGCTCATCTATTTCAAGCCATGTTGTCATGTCTTCCAATCTTCTATATTATCTAGCTGCCAGTTTCCACTAAAGCACTTACAGGATCCACTGGTAAAGTCCTTGTCAAGTAAAGTACAATGTGAGGATCATAATTTCTGTAAAGCTAAGGTTCCATAAATAAAGTTTGTGTACGTAGTGTATTTTGTACACATTTTCAAATACTACAATTCTGCTTTATAAATACGGAACTCAAGTTTACAAACACTGAACTCGGGAATTTCTTTGGCCTCTCTCTGCTGGAAAATCATTGCCATGTTGCAAAACCTGGATTATTTTAATCTCTCTGGCACATTAAGGTGTAATATCTTGAAATGTGACCTACTGATACCTACTCAAGTCACATAGATCTCTGCTTCTACTTTTTCAGCTGTGAATCCAGCAACTAATGGTATCCTCTCTCAGCAAGGATGCAGTATTTTTCCCTAAAGGAAGATCAAATCTAAGACCCGAACAGCAAAGTAACATATAGATCTGTTAAAACTTCAGGATACTGCTAAAGATTTCTTCCTCAACTGAAACGTACTGAGGCTATAGGACAGTAAAGCTACTTTTAGCCTCCATCTTCATTTGGCAAAATAAACATTGTAATAAATTAAAATGAATTGGTTTAAAGTAACAACACAGCAAAGACAACTTGGAAGAGTTTCCATTTAAGTTAAATCAAGTTACAAACAAGACTGCTCAATAAGTGAGGTATTTACATGAACTAGCCGATGTCTTGCCCTCATTACGAGGATTTTACCAAGTGACGACAGCATAACTTACAAGAGTGAAGACAATACCCCGATGAATAAAGTGTCTTCTGAAATCATTTTGAAGTTTAACATAAGGATAAACTACAGATAAACAAATGAGGTCACTCATGACTGTAAAACAATATTTTTATTTTGGATATTTCCACATACATATCAGGATATGCACAGTATCTACCAAAAGCCTTAAGGTTTGGTCTACCAAAAGTCTTAAGGTTTACTTCATGTTTGTTTCAAATCTCTGATAAACTACTCTTCATTTACATAACATTACACTCCACTTAATTTCCCTCATGTTTTACGTTGTTGTATTTTGAAAAACACAGAACTGAGAGAGCACTGAATGCTCTGCTTCCTAAGCTCCTTCAACTAGGAATGATTAATAGTTCTGAGGTGTTCCAGTATCCTTATGGCCTGAATCTGGTGACTATATATCATAAGTAATTCTGTTTCAGTCCAAGGTATATAGTACAGTGTGTTCTATACATTAAAAAGATGTTGAGGTCAAATATACACAAAAAGATAATGCAGAGTATGGAATAACATGCAGATGATTTCAACACAAGTACAGGAAAGCATTCAGGTTTATCTTAAATCTCAGTCTCATTTTTAAAAAAAAAACCAAACACACGAATATGTCATACAGCCTGAGAACTGTAACAGAGAACACTTTATGACAGGGAACAAGTGTTGACTTTTGAGACAAGATATATGAGGAAGACTTCTAAGTATCTTCTCATATTGTTCCTGTTTCATTCCTAATAATCTGGAAGGACAGTATCAGCTGTCCAACAACCAACATATTTCCCTGTTTCAAGACCTGTGCTGCTTCTTTCCTTCTTTCCAAGGAAAACCCCATCAGACACAATACACACTGCAGTACAAACAGCTGTTAATTTAGGACACTAAGAGATTGCATCATCATCATCAAAACACCAAGGAGCTGAAGAGTCTAAGAGAACAGACTTGCTCACATGAATTTAGCATTAACAGCTACTAAGGAACGGCCATTTGAAGATGGTATCAAAAAGCAACTGTGAAGCGGTGCTAGCTGGTTCAAAGAGCAGAGCCACCACTTTGGCCAATAGTCTTTTTAAAAATAAAAATCTGCCTTCCTTTTTACAAATTGCAGTAGCTCATTTTTAAGTACATAGTCATATTTCTGATGATAGCCTTCTCTTCGTGGCACAATACCAATTAATAGGTATGACTTCTTTCCCTCTTTTATATCTTCACTATTTAAAATTTTCAGTGCATTTGCTTTTGCAATTACTGAAGCAGACAACATCTTTTCTTTTAGAAAATAATTATTGCTGTAATAATCTGTAATTATGGTTTATAACAGCAATAATCCCAAAGAAATCAGTCATTACCATAGATCACAAGTAATCATTAACTACTGTTAATGACCCATTTCTTGGGGATTATTGTTTTAGTAAACCATGACCGCATCACTATTGATACAGAGAGCAAGATAGTATAATAAAATGAGATCTTAATATTACATTAACTTACTTTGTAACATTAAAAGCCATTAAACATCGAAATACAAATATGCATATCTAGGGGATATAACGGTTATTGTTCAATATGAGCACAAATGTTTAGTTTGTGGAAAAGAAACACAATATTTAAACTGTATCAAATGTTTTCTATCGCATAAAGGCAATCCCCAGAGCACTGACACTGAAAGACTCTAGCTGATTATTTCCCTTTGGCCGCTCATGACTGGGGAATGGAGTGTAAGTTCAGACTGCAGCAGGTTAATGAAATCAGGTCATTAATGAAAGTTCTCCCAAATAATAGTTGATAGGTGCATGGAAGGAAGTGCAATTGATAAAAAAGGTAAGCAGGGGGTCTTACATAAATCAGTGAAAAAATGGCTCCTACACAGAAGAAAATCAGCATATTCAAACCCAACAAAAGAACAGCAAAATAAATCACAAACATTTAATAGCATGCAAAGAAACAGCTGTATTATGCAGTAACCTGTCTCACCTTTTCAAAACAACACCATTTATCCATGTAAAGATGCAACAGCCATAAGATAACTATATTAGGAAAGAGCCAGTAGTTATAAAGACAATTAAGTGAGACACAGAGAGGACTGAAATAGGCATATGAAAAAAAAAAAGTACTTATTATTTTTACAAATTACACAATAAATAATTTGAGTTTCTTGAAAATTAGGTAATTCATCTTAACAGAGCTGTGTAAAATAAATTAAGATTTTTAATGTTACATTCATTTTTACAGACAGATAAAAGCAAAAAGAACAAAAGTTAAGATCTTCATTTTCAAAACTTGTTCATCAAGTTGCAGCTGGTTCCCGTGGGGGAACCTGAGGCACTAAAACGTTGATTTTCAGAAATTAAAAGTTTTTACAGCTCTCAATGCCTCTATTTAAAGATGTAACAAGATGTTAAAACAAACAGATCAACTGCCAATGAATCCTATTTAACACAAAGACAACTAGTGAAAATGTGGTGCAAGGTGACTTGGATCATCAATTCCTAGTTTGAGAAAACATCTAGTTATATCTGCCATAAGATCATCACTCTTTTTCATATGCAAGTATATGGTTATTGGCACATAAAACAGAGTCTAAAAATTAAATTAAATACTAACCTTCCTGAACTGTGATTTCTAATGGATTCCTACTAGAAGAGTGCAATAATTTTTGGTAGTTTTGTGCATTTTGGTCAAACAACTGTACAAGAAGAGTACAGGTCTTTTCGTATTCACACCTACTAACTGTGCACAGTTGCTCCAGCTGTTGGAAAACTGTAGCAGTATCATCCAGTGGATCTTCTAAGCCATCTCTGGAATAGAGACAAAAAAGTAACCACTTTTAGCCACTATTGCTTAAAAGCTGTTTTCCCATCCCGATCTTGTACCACTGTCACTGAACTGCTGAACTATAAAAGCCTTAGCAGCTGATGAATACAACAGACAGGCATAACATCTCATTTTATTTACATACACATCCACACAAACACAGAACAGTATTCTATTTGTGCCCTCCTCTTAACACGTATTTTAGAAAGCAAAGCAGAGAGGTGATGAGGTTGGCAGTATGAACACAGAAAGATAAATCCTGAACAACTAAGGTCCATCGTGCCCGAACAGAATATTAACAAGCAGCATCCTTCTCAAAGGACAATGGGAGGAAAGACTGGAATACTTAGTAGAAATGGATTTTGCATATTCATCAAATTAAGCACAAGACCACAATACCAAAGCCAACAAGCAATCTTCAGTAAAATTCAATGCAACTGCTTTATAAATTTTTGGTTTATTCTGCTGTAAACAAGCTGTGATCCTATGGAATGCCTGTAACAAACAGAGCAATAGCTCTTGCCAGAAAGTGTAACTATACTCATTACACCAATCACAATAGGAAAGGTTCACTCATCAGGTTACGCTTTTGTTGCGCAGGCGACAAGCAATCTACAGATAAAGATAACTTCCAAAAAGCTAACAAAGTTAACAGTGCTAACGTCCAAACTTTGGAAGATATACGGTGGCTGAAAATCCTAATGTTCAATTAGGCTGAAACAGACCTCTTCTCAAGTACTTACAAATATTTGAAATAAAAGTTCTCCTTCTAGTTTGCAGAAAAGCATCCTCTTGTAGATCCTACGTAGAAGAATCATTAGTTCCTCACTCATCCTTACTCAAAAGGGAGAATAGCTATTCAAACCCCCCAAAAGGGTAAAAGTGACCGACTTTCCTTCCAATGTTCCAAGCTCATTCTTTCTCTCTCTGAAGGACCAGCTGGATGGCTCCTGAACGGAGGATGATGTTATCAACTATACTGGTTTGTAAGAAAAATGGTCATTCCAGAAAATAGGATTTGTTCACAAAGATATCAATTAATCTCCTTGGAGCAAACAGAAGAAGTCTTATGAAACCAGCTCGCAGACATCCTATGTTTCTCAAGAATGGTCTGGATGTTTGGTATTAAAGTCTACATTTGATATTGCGGTCTATAGAAATGCCACAACTGAGGATCTTCATCACGTAAGAGAATAAGACAATACAACAGTGGTATACAAATCACTTAAAGCTAGGAACTGATACATGCCAACAGCATCACCAAGACTATCTTAAGAATGATACAGACTGGCACAAGAAAAGATCAGTACTTTCCTCATCTTTTCGCTGCTGGCTTTTTTCACAGATTAGAAAGTTTACTCCTCCAGAACGTAACAAGGACATCAGTTCCAAAGAAAGAAACTGAATTTTCATTGCTGACGGTGATGTTCATGAAGACAACAGCACATTTCAACGGAGCTGGTCATGCCAGATGGTTTGACCCAGAAGCTCAGCCCTACTGAGTGCTTCAAGTCTGGAAGCTGATATGGAATGTACACCTCAGTAGAGAAGAAAGCTGAGATATGAAGTTTCAGCCCTGAGATTCCATTACAGAAAAGCCAAATAGAGAAGATAACTTAAAAACGCCAAAAGAAGCATAGGTTGGTTGAGGGAAGGTCCAGGAAAATGGACTGCACCTGCAATCAGCTGCTTGTCCTTCCCTGTCCTAGCACTGGAACACTGGAAGCTCCCCTAGGTACTATTAGTTCTTGTTCCTAAGACAATGCTAGAGAAGCTCAAGACTTTGAACCATTAGGAAGTCAGCCTTTAAAACACCTATGGTGATAATACAAGGCAAATAACAGCAACTATAGCTTAGTCACTAAACAGTAAGATGACAGATTCCATAATTTGCAGACATGAGATTTTGGCTAAATTGAAACAAAAGGACAACAATGGTGAAGCTGAATGCACTTCCTCACACAAACGGAACAAATGACATCACCTCAGTAATGTAAAATTGAAAAGGAAAAGCCGACGTGGCTTTTCTATAGTCCCATAGTCTGACAGG